TGTCCTTGTTGCTGTGGCCAAGAACCACACACATACTTGGTTGTGATCTGCACTTAAGGTTACATGTTTTTGTTTCAGCTCTTGGACAGGGGCTGTCTAAATTTCATGCTTTGTAGTTGTGCTCACTGTGCTTACATCTTTTTCAGTGCAGTGCTTACACATTATTGACTGTGGTGCACTAGAAATCACCAATTTTATTTTATTTTTATTTATTTTTTTATTAATGAAACTCCATGTGGTACAGTTGTTGACCTTATAAATTTCTGTGCTTGGGTTTCAGTTATACAATGATTGAGTACCCATTCCCTCCACCAGTGCCCATTCCCCACCTCCAATGCTCCTAGGATCCCTCCCACTCCCCCACCCATCCCACCCCACCCCTGTGGCATGGCATTCCCTCTCTCCTTTTGGGTGCTGTGGTTTGCAAAAGAGGCATTGAGTGGCTATCATGTTTGGTCTATAATCTGTTTTCAGCATGCATCTCTTATCCTGAGAGGGTCCTCCCAACACCCTTTACTTGGTGCTCCCCTCTCTATCTGAACCGCCTTCTCCCTCAGCATGTGCGGCTGGCCTCCAAGCCATGGAGTGAATCTCCTGGTACTTATCTTGGCTATTCTTGGATGTTAGTCTCCCAATTTGTTACTTTATATTCCCCAGGTGAATGCAGTCTTTCTGTGTCTGTCCCTCTCTTTCTGGCTCATTTGCTCAGCATGATACTTTCCATGTAGTACCACTTGTATGTAAATTTCATGACTTCATCTTTTTTAACAGCTGCATAGTACTCCATTGTGTAGATGTACCAAAGTTTCTTTAACCAGTCATCTATTTTCAGGCATTCAGGTTTTTTCCAGATTTTGGCTATTGTGAATAGTGCAGCAGTGAACATAGAGTGCAGATGTTTATTTCGACTGTACTTTTTTGCCTCGCTGGGATATATTCTCAGGAGTGGTATTGCTGAAATCACCAATTTTATTGTAATTTGGTGATCCCACAAAGCAGAGTGGGCAGAATGACACTTAGTACATGCCTGGTAGTGCTGCGCATCAAACTCATGGCCTCACAGGAGCTTTGCCACTGAGTCATCCCCATGCCCTGAAAAGCAGTTTATTTCCTCCAAATAGAAGTGATAACTTAGTTGGGCAGTGTTCTTGGATGGATGTCTTTTCATTCAACACTTAATGTGTATCACACCACGGCCTTCTGACCTGTAGATTTTCTGTTGAGAAATTTGCTGATAATCTTTTCAGTATTATGTTGATTGGGCTGGAGCGATAGCACAGCGGGTAAGGGAGTTTGCCTTGCACGTGGCCTATTCGAGTTCGATTCCTCAGCCCCTCTTGAGAGCCCAGCAAGCTACCAAGAGTATCTAGCCCACTGTGATGCATTTGATATGTTAAAAACAGTAACAGCAAGTCTCACAATTTGTTGTGAGAGGAGGACAGTGCTGCAGTGCTACATATGTTGATTAAACTTGCAGTGAAATAAAGGGTAAAAATTCTTGATCATAGGTAGTTGGCATTCTAGTGGAGATTTAAAGATGTCAGTCATATTTATTATCTTCAAGTTGGTTAAGACATAATTAAAAGTAAGCTGAGACACTATTTATATTCAGTATCCTAGATATTACCTTAAAAATAGAAAATGGGTGCTTACTGTTTTGACTTTGAATGTGAGGAGAGGGGTGGTTTGGCGCCACACCTGGTGATGCTCAGTGCTTACTCTTGGCTCTGTGCTCAGGGATCACTCATGGCGAACTAGGAAGGCCATACAGGCTGCTGCATGCAAGGCCAACTCCCTACTCTATCTGCTGTACTATCACTACAGCCCCCTGGATTGAGTATTTCTAAAATAAGACCACAAATGATAGCTTTATTTCTCGGAGCAAAGACGAGAGTCCTTATCCTTGCCCAGACATTTCTCAATAAAAACATCTGATTCTAACAATGTTAAAACTATTAACGTCTATTACCTCAACTCTTAGAACAAGATTTAATGTGTTACTAAGTTACTACATAAGTTACATGCAGTACACTATTTTATGTTGGTAATTTTTGCTTTTGCTTTGCTGTTTTTATTTTTTATTGAGTTAGCATTGTCTTACAGAGGTGTTTGTGTTTTAGGTTGAAGATGCTATCATGCCAGCGTATTTATTCCAGTTACAATTATATACTACAGTGCAATATTATTGTTTTATAGTTCAGATACTATATTATATCTACCCCCATACTCTTTCAGTTCTTTTTATTCCTTCCCTCCTCTGCCACTTGGCGTCCTCGGTTCTCTGTTTTGTCAACAATGTCTCATAATTTATTTTCATTGACCATTGTCTGTTCCCTTGGTTTGTTTCTTTACATTCCACCTATGAGTGAGATCATCTGTTATTGGCTAGCTTTGATTAGCATGCTGTCCTCTATTATTTTTTTCTTTTTTGGTCACACCCAGCGATGCTCTGGGGTTACTCCTGACTCTGCACTCAGGAATTACTCCTGGCGGTGCTGGGGGAACCATATGGGATGCCAGGGATGGAGCCCAGGTCAGCCACGTGCGAGGCAAACTCCCTACCCACTGTACTTTCGCTCCGGCCCCTGTCCTCCACTGTTATCCAAGTTAAAGTGAAATACAAGATTTTATCTTTTTTTTTTTTTTTTGAGTCACACCCGGTGAAGCTCAGGGGTTACTCCTGGCTCTTCACTCAGGAATTACTCCTGGTGGTGCTCAGGGAACCATATGTGATGCTGGGAATCAAACCCTGGTCAGCCACGTGCAAGGAAAATGCCCTACCCGCTGTGCTGTCCTTCTAGCCCCAAGATTTTATCTCTTATCAATAGTCGAGTGATAATCCATTGACTTTATATACCCCTCAGTTTCTTTTCCATTGATCTTTTGTTGGCCACATGGGTTGTTTATAGGTCTTGGCTATTATAAATAGTGCTGCAATGAACATGTGTGTACATATATCTTAATTAATATGTTTGTATTTGTGAGTTTGAAAAGAAAGGTGCGGGCATGCACAGAACTCTAGTTCAGTGGCTGAGAACCGTTCCCCAATAGCAATGGATGGACGAAACACCAGGGGAACAGAGAAACAGGGCCCCAGGCCTTTTGATAGTCAGTTAATTTCTCTTTTCTCTCTAGCATAGTCCGATCTCTCCCTTACAGCAATATGGTCATAGTTTTGGTCATAATCCTAGTCATCATAGTTCCCTCGTCCTCGTTCTCATAGTCCTCGACTTCCAGTCATCCTAGTCCTAGTCCCCAACCTCATCATGGTCATAGTCTTCATAGTTCTTACGGTCTTCTTCCTTCACAGAAATCATGAAGGGTGGGGGTACACATCGGTGGGGTTGAACATTGTCGTAACAACAAACAGATGTAAAGCCACTTCTTTAGAGGAAGTTCTAGAACTTCTTTAGGGGAAGTTCTAGAAAATTAACTCAAGGAAAAAATCTCATCTGAGGGTTCAGCACTCTAGATTACTAGGAGATCCGCTCAAGGGCGGGATTCCATCTAGGGTGTATTGCTTTCTCCTTTCCTCAGCTAGTAATCCATTTAACCAATCATAGTAAATTTACTTCTTACAATATTTCTAGTCATGTTGTATGAACACAGCAAGAGATATATTAAGCTTAAAGATTGGGTCTTCCTGGAGACATCTCACTATATCCCAGACTACAGAACTCAGGCCAGGTTAGTCTTCCCTAACCCCAGCAGGGTCCTTATTCAGTTGTTTCTTTTTGGGTCGTGACAAAGTTTGTTCCATGACCATGCTTTTAACTTATACTTGTAGGGCTTAGATTGTCCCTTTTCAATGTAAGCTACCCAGAGTAGCTTACGGCTTGCCCTGGGTCCTTCCAGTCCCTTCGTTGAGACCCTCCCTTTGGGGGTGTTAGGAAGTAAAGGCAACTGAGGCTTAAGTCAGGTAAATATGATAGATTCTCAGGAGTAAGTATAATTTGAGTCAGTTAACTCCCATGTTACAAAAGGATAACATGAACTGGCTTCCTGTGTCTATACAAAAAGGACATTGCTAAATAAGCCATGCAAATGACATTAAGGAAATAGAAAAGCAATATAGGATTATTAGTGCCTGATGGAAGTGGTTGTGTCTCAGGGGCACTGTTGTGGGAGTAATTCAATAAACTGATGCTCCCTTTAGGACAAGCAAAGACAACCCAGTGTTATCCAACATGTATTGGGAATAGAGAATTAGGAGTAGTATCAAAGGGTTGTGGAAGTTTTGTTTTTAATTTTTTGAGAAATCTCCATCCTGGTTTCCATAAAGACTGAACTAGGCAATGGTCCCACCAACACTGAATAATGTTTTTCATGGCATTTATGCCTGAACTTTTTTAGATTGAGCATATTGTCATTCATAAGTGTGATGATAAGTTCTCATTGGTCATTTTGATTTGCGTTTCCTAATAATCAGTGATGAGGAACACTTGCATGTCTGCTGGACATTTGTCGGTCTTTGAGGAAGTCATCTGTTGAGCTGTTCTCCTTATTTCTTGATGGGTTTGCTTAATTTGTTATTGTTGAGATTTCTAAGTGTTTTACATGCAGAATCTTAAAAAAAAAACTCATACCATGAACTGATGATGCCCATACTTGGCTTCTGTATAATGGATTAGTGGCTATTAGTAGTTTAAATTTCAGATTGTTGAATAATTTGCAGATGGTTCCTGTGATGTGCTTAATTCTAAAGATAAACTGAATGTGATGATAAAGGCTATTTTAGTCCTCCAAAAAAGCCTTGAAGCTTTTCTTATCAGTGAAAATTTATTTCGTAAAATTATTGTAACCTAGGAAAAGTTAAGACAAATCCTTTCTCTAGGTACAATTTGATATGTACAAAATTCACTAAATGTGCTTTTTAAGTTCATTTTTACTCCTGAATTGCACCTTATAGATAAGCATGTTAGAGTTCAGGTTCTGTAGAGATTAGGTATGTATAACTTCCACAGTTATTTGTAATTTTTCCTGAACTTTTCCTTCTGCAGCAAAGTTCTGTTTTCATTAACTACACATTATTTTAAAGTTGAAGATGGTGGTGAAAGATCATTATGTGTCACTTTTGGATTTTTTTTCTTTGTCAAAGCAATGGCAGTTTTGATTGTAACAGAAAATTACCTTGAATTTGGACTTGAAACAGGTAATTATACAACTTTTCTCTTGTTGTTGTTAGATGGGGGCACAGGAAAAATGGGCTGGAGTGATAGAACAGCTGGTACAAACACAGTCAACCCAGTTTCTATGCCATGTATCCCATATAGGCTCCTGAGCCCACTGGGAATGGTCCCTGAGTGGAGAACCAGGGTAAGCCCTGAGCACTACAGAGTGATGCCCAAACCTCCACCCCCCAAAAATGGTGGAAAGGGAGTAAGAAGAGATGGATGGGAGATAATGAGTAAGGGCCGGGACTTGGGCACACTGATAGTATAAACATATGGTATATGTAAACTACAGAGCCATCAACACTGGAAGCATGAGATCCAAAAATACAGCAACCATAATTAAAAATATACCTGTCAATAGGACAGGCTGCAGGGTGGGAGGGAACCTGCGCATATTGAGAGAAAAGTTGACACTGGTAGTGGAGTTGGTGTTGGAACATCGTATGCCTAAAACTCAACTATGTGAATCATGGTGTCTTCATATTTAAAAACTTTTTTTTAATGGGGGTGGGGTTATACCTAGCAGTGCTCAGAATATTCCTGGCTCTGTGCTCAGAAGTGACCCACAAAGTTCACAAAGTAATCACAAAAAATCAAAAGGAAAAGATTTTTCACACCAATTTTTTTTCCCCCACAGGGAACTTTGTGCAGCGTTAGGGATTGAATCAGGGCTAGTTGTCCACATACAAGGGAAGTTCCTTCCCTCCTGCAGTTTTTTTTTTTTCCAGCCCTAACTTATAGTGCTTAAAAGTTAGTTTCACTTTACCTGGTGTTATTATATTTTACTTCAGTAGTTTTGTTTGGGCTGGCGCTCGGGGGTCACCCATCATGGGCTCGGGGGACATATGAGTTTCCGGGCTTCAAACCCTGGTTAGTTGCATGTGCCTTACCCCTTGTACAATCTCTCTGGCCTCCATACTTAGCTTTTGGTTGGGGGATATATCCTCTGGTTTTCAGAGCTGTTCTGGCCCTGCTAAGTAGACCATAATTGGTTCTGAGAATTAGAACAAGGATCAGTGGCATGCAAGGCCTTAACTCCTGACTATCTCTCCGGAACAAATATGATAAATGGTGAAAAAAATTGATGTGAAAAATCTTTTCCTTTTGATTTTTTTGTTATTACATTTTTGGTTACTTTTATCAAAAAATGCTGGCCACTCTCTTTTTCCTTATATTTTGATATTTCTGCAATGCTGAATTAGCTCACATGGGTAAAGAGGCAAGTTTTAATGCAAATTTTGTGCAGATTCATAGAGTGAACAAGTATCAGAGATCTGTTTTCCAAAAAGCTTTCTGCTAAAAGCTCAATTAATTCAAAATTTAAAATGCTATGTTTTCTCTCTTTCACTTCCAAAGATTCCTTTTGCATTTTACCTCTGTAATAAGAGTGACTTTTTTTTTCCTTACAGGATTTACAAATTTTTCAGACAGTGCGATGCAGTTTCTTGAAAAACAAGGTTTAGAATCTCAGTAAGTTTTTTTTTAATTCAGCAATATTAAATTTTTAAAAAATTTTAGTGAAACAATATTTACTATAAATATTTACATTTAATCTGCTCTAGTTCTTTATCAAATAGGCCTCTCACTATTAAGAAGAACCCTACTAATAATTTTACACTTGTACAAAGTTAGTATCTTTCGTAGAACTCGTTTGGATTTGCTCCTTTTTAATTCTCTATCACCAGAGGTTAAGCTAAATTTATGAATCACTTATCAATTTTACGTTTAAAGTGTAGGTGGATTGTTAAAGTCGTCTGAAAGCAATGCTTGATTTTTTTTTTTTAGTTCACCAAGATCCATTATAGATAGTTAAAAAAGAAGCAATCTTTTAATAGACATTTACTTTGTATTGCTGTTATATTTATGGTTTATAAAACAGTTAACTAGAAGAAATTATGAGTTAAATTTTATACATATTGAGGTTTTCCTGTAAGTTATTGACCTCTTAAAATACATTGCTCTTGCTAAAATACATTATTCCTTAAAACTTAAAAAATTGATCGATTTTCTTAAACATTTTCCTTTTAGGGGTCCTGTTTCAAAACTTACTTTCAAATTTTTCCTGGCTATTTTCTGTTCGCTCATTGGGGCTTTTTTGACATTTCCTGGATTACGGCTGGCTCAAATGCATCTGGATGCCCTGAATTTGGCAACAGAAAAAATTACACAGTAAGCGGAAAATGTACATAAGCACATGCAGATAAATATATGTTTTCCATCTTATGAAGGTATATTATTGTAATGAAATCATAAATTACTGTATTGAAAATAACCATTCTGTTGCACACTGCTATTCTTTCCACTATAAGCAAGTTTCTTTTATTTACTTCTAAATTTTACTCCTGTATTTTAAAAAATCTGCCTTAATTCACTTTTTCTTCTACTGTCAGCATAGAAGCATCAGTATTTATGTTAGAGGTTTTCTTCCCATATCTAGTGTTGTTGTGGGCAACTCCCAGCAGTGCAGTGGGCATTCTGAGGTGCTGGGGGATCAAACTCAGGCTTCCTGCTTGCAGAGCATGCTCTGAACCCATTAAGATGTATTTCTACAGCTCCATGGAGTTCTTTTTAATTTGAAGGTGACTGTGTAATTTCAATCTCTACTACTGAGCTAAGATTTTATAGAACTTTTTTTAAAGTCAACATTTTAAATAAAATACATGAATTTTATATGCATAATTTTATTTAGATTTTGCAAGGTTTATGAATTAAATTTTATAATTTTATACATATGTAGGTTACCTGTTAAAATACATTACTCTTGTTAAAATACGTTATTTTGGAATTGTGACTACAAACATCACAATCCCTTTTTAACCTACCAAATTGTACATTAGTATTTAAAGCAGAGAAATCATATCTGAATTTCTGCAGATCATTCAAATCCCATTTATTGTATTCACTGTGGTTGTCAGATAAACTTTTGTTAATAACAGACAATTAGACCAAATAACACATTTATATCTTGATTCATCCATATCCAGTTTTCCATCTTGACTTTTTATTTTATAGTAGAAGTCTAATTTGAGAATGTTCTGTTTTGATATTTGTAGTTGATAAATTTTTTTGAGTGATACTTTGTTATTTTGCTCTTTATCTCCATTTTTCTACATATGCTTTATGTGTTCACTTATTCTCACTTCCTACTGCACACTTCATTTTTTTTAATTCTCCTATTACTTATCGTCCTCTTGGCTGTGTCCTACATTGCACCCACCATCCCGTCTTTCCGGTGGTTTCTTTTTTAAAAATTCTGGTTCTCTCTCTCTCCCTCCCTCTCTACCACATACACACTTTAGCCCGCTAACCCTAGTGTTATGATTTAAATAAGCTGAAAGGGTGGGTGGAGGGGAGTCCTTCACCAGCTACTGAAGCTGCTGTGGACTGCTCCTTGATACTCGAGTGTTCCCTAGCAACACTGCATATCTAATATTGCTTCATTCTTCCCTCACCCAATGGTTTACCCAGGCAGTGGGATGAAAGAGTTACTTTATAAACACTTTAAGCAGTTAGTGGTGGTTTTGGGGTGGTACTTTTTTGTTTCCTTCTCAGAGAAAGTAGCTTCTTTTTTCAAGGTTTTCTTTTTTTTTCTTTTTGCAATTTGGGTTTTTATTTCACTTTCATTTTATTGTAAGTCCTGTATTGTGGCACTCTGCCTTGGTCCAAGGATGTAGTTCTGCTATGAGAGTAACACGGCTGGCACATAAAGCAGCATCCTCCTCCCTGTAACCAGCACTCTGGACTTGTTTTTATGACAGTGTTAGGGAGATCTTTCCTTGACAGGTATTCACTGTACCACCCCAGTCCCTTCTCACATATATCTCTCTTAATTTCATCATAATGGGTGTGGGTGTGTGTGAGAGAGAGACCTGAAGTTTAGCCCTTCATCATGGTACATAATACAATAGGTGACAGTAAAAGAGTCTGAAGAACTTCCCTCTGTTTTAAAGTAAAGAAAATCATTATCATGTATCCTCTGTCTCTTTAGGATACTACCTTGAGACTTCAGTTCATAGTGAAGCTAGAGCTCAGACCTAAAGTTATGCTAGATTAGGTATAGTGTCTTGTCAGGAGTAGTAAAAATCTTTTTGATCTGGCACAGCGGTAGGGCGTTTGCCTTGCACGCAGCCTACATGGCCGACTCGAGTTCGATTCCTCCGGCTCTCTCGGAGAGCCCGGCAAGCTACCGAGAGAGACGGCAGAGCCTGGCAAGCTCCCCATGACGTATTCGATATGCCAAACACAGTAACAACAAGTCTCATGATGGAGATGTTACTGGGCCTGCTTGAGCAAATTGACGAACAACGGGAGGACCGTGAACTGTATAGGATAGGAAAAGCTAATACCAGATATGTTCATAATACTCCAAGAAGAAATAAAAATATATGAATCCATTTATTTCAGTGGTACAATTATAACTTTAATGTTTAAAATGAGTGAATATCAACATATTACAGGTTCTTTATGAGTTGTGGTAGGTTTCTTCTGACATAGGCTTTCTCTGCTGTAGACTTCATTAGTAACAAGGTCTTTCTTGCAATTAATAAGTACAGTCTTTGAGCTATACTAAATGTATTCCCATAATGACTTCTATACTAAAAATCAATTAAATTCATTCAGTATATAGAGCAAAAAATTATATATAGGTACCTGTGTTAGTGAAATCAGTAATATGGTGGGTGATTATTAAAGAATTCTCGAAGTCAGTAGATTTTTAAATTTCACTTTGACCATTTATCTTTAACCTGTTGTATTGCCATGAACAAATCATTTATTTTTCCTGAATCTAAGTGCTCTTATCTGAAAAACTAAGGTATTGGATGGGATAGTTAAGCAAGTAATCATCAGTGTGAAGTGATTATGATAAATGTAAAATTGTGGTAACACTATAGACTAATTAATACAGACTCTAGAAGTAAGTTTCTGACTTAATTTATACCAAGTTTCTGTAATTTATTAATGGATTTTTTTTTGTATTTTTATATTTGTTTCTTTCTTACTTTCAGAACATTACTTCATATTAACTTCTTGGCACCATTATTTATGGTTTTGCTCTGGGTAAAACCAATCACCAAAGACTACATTATGAACCCACCATTGGGTAAAGAAAGCGTGCCTTTGTAAGTATGAGTATTGGGGAATAATTTACTTTTTTCAAAATGTTTTTATTTTTAAGGATAATATTAAATCACTTTATTTTAAAGATATTAATCCAAATAGATGTGCTTAAAAATTGAAGCTATGGGCCATTATTTACCCTTTTTATGATCTTTATTCATATTAATGATTATTTCTCCCAATTAAAATTAGCATATACATGTGTAAATTTTACTCCTCTCGTAATATCAGTATTTGTGTGGCTTTTTTTCTGTAATGTTACTGTTTCACTTTGTAATGTATTTATCTGGTTAGATTTCTATAACTAAAAGGATTATAAAAAATAGATCTGTTGTAAACTAGCATACTGTTTTTCATATCTCCAACTTTACCTAAGTATAGTTTTATGTATCATGCTGATCATAAGCACATAAAACAAGTATGGTAGCGTACTTTGGTCTTTGAGAGCACCATGTCAACTTTTTGATCTGTAGAATGACAGAAGCTACATTTGATACTCTGCGACTGTGGTTAATAATCCTGCTGTGCGCTCTGCGGTTAGCCATGATGCGTAGTCACCTGCAAGCTTACTTAAACTTAGCACAGAAATGTGTGGATCAGATGAAGAAAGAAGCAGGGCGAATAAGTACAATTGAGCTACAAAAAATGGTAAGATTGTATACTGTGGTCAAATAAAACACTGTATTGCTTATTTGGTAGCATTTTAAAAATAGGTAATTATTTCATCAATAAAATTTGTACTATAACTAAATGGGACAGTCTTTTTGTTCGTGTTTTTGGGGGGGGGGTTGGGCCACTCACATTAGTGTTTAGGAGTTATTTCTGGCTCCATGCTCAGGTATCATTCCTGGTGGTGCTTTGGGAACCATGTGTGTTGCCAGGGATTGAACCAGGATTGGCCATGTGCAAGGCAAACACTTTCTAAAAGATACTAAATACCTTTATTAGTTGAATGAAAAATGGAGGTAGTTGTCGATGGTTAGATGGACATAAACTTGTAACATGCTAACGAATGTCCCTTTTACACCAAAATTTTGCTGATTTCTGAGTTTCAGTGCAATTATATTACACAAATTGAAGAACTTCATTATGAGAACATCCTGTTAGGCCCGAGCAGGATGCTTTCTGCCTAGTCACAAGTTTGCAGCCACCAACTTCTCAACCTAGTCTAAACTTATTTTATCCAGAAGACCACCCAGATCTTGGGATCGGTATTAATGCGTGATCTCCCACCATCTCTCTCGTTGCTTTTAAAAAGTGAATTAGCAGCACTGCCTTCTTCTGGCACATTTTTAATTAGCAGAATATGGCGTTGGTACCTGTAAGTGGTCCTTTTGGGTTGAGGGGTGATAGCAATTCCAAATCCAGAACAGAAACTTGGTGCTACAATAAATCAGAAGATCAGCATCCCTATTCCAAGGAGAATCTAAATCTTAATGGTATCTCAGTGTATTAGCTTCATGGGATTGAAGCTACCCTACCTATTCCACAAGACATACTGTTTTCATCTGTAAGGCAGACACTTTAGCTTCTGTATTATCTCTTCAGCTCAAAATGGGCTAATCCTAAAGCAGCAAAAGTCACGAATCTGTGATCTGATTGTGGCGCCTAAGTAAAGGTCTCAATTGCTCTTCCGGTCTTACATTTCTTAAGTGCCATATTGTTGGGTGTTAATTAGCTCTGATAATGCCAAATTATGGAAGCACCAACTAATATGAAAGTATCTGTATTATATAGCCTTTATCACTTAAAGGGTAGAAAAAAATCTTGGTGACAAAAACTTTTTCCTTATAACATTATTCTTAGTACTTGAACATGAGACATTATTATTTAACCTATTCCAAGGAAAGAAATGATAGGAATCCATTTGTTGCGTTGGTAGACTGGATCACTGGATCGTTACCTGATGTGACTCTTTTGGAGATTTGGTATTAGTTCCATTAAAATCCGAAAGATTTTTACTCTTTCATAGTCAGAAACAATTATCAAGATTACTTTTTATTTTATCTTTTATATGTTTTCATATAAGTATTATTTATTAGGGGTTTACACTTATTTGTGACACTTAGTTTGATGTTTTTAGCTGACTGCCTTAAAGATTTTAGCATTCTGTTGTATATTTGAAATATAAAGCCGACTTGCAACATTTAAAACTTTTTTCTCCAATTTATAGCAAACAAAATAATTTTAGATTTTTTTAAAAAAATGTCTCACATAAAAATTGTATCTTCAAATGAACTTTTCTCAGTTTGGATGCCTTTATAAATAAGTGTATAAAAGGAAGTTGTAAAGAATTACTGCCATTATCTTCCTTTTCAGAAACAATTACTTATCTTGAAGCAATTCCACTTGAAAATATATGAAAATGAAATTTATTTGTATTTTATCTCCTAACCCAGCCAGCCATACTGAACTCTTAAGAATGTTGTTGATTGCAGGTTGCCCGAGTGTTTTATTACCTTTGTGTCATTGCACTACAATATGTGGCGCCCCTGGTAATGCTGCTTCACACAACTCTGCTTTTGAAAACTCTGGGTAAGCATATCCTAGAAACTGGAAAACATGTTTTACATTCTGCCTATCAGGAGTAATGTATTTTGTTATCTGTAAAGAAATATGCCTCTTTAAAATGATTTGTCTTTGAAAGTTGTAAGAGGATTGATAAGTTATAGCTATAAAAGTTGATTTCTTGATTTTGAAAAACATGGCTTGTTATGACATTATTCTTTTAAAGAATTGTTCGCTAGGGTTAGGGATGTGGTTCTGTGGTCAGATGCTTGTCTCACATATAAGATCCTGAATTTGATTCCCAAGGAGAGGAAATTTGCTTACTAATAATTAATCCCAGTTTTTCTGAGTTAACATGTGAGTTATCTGAATGATCATCTTTGATTTTAGTAATTTTGTGTTACAAGCAATTTTGTTAACTTTAAAATTTACTTGCAAATAAGTAAATTTCAAGTAAATAAGTAAATCTGTAATTCAGCTAAGTTTGGATGCCTTTTTACAGATTCCTGAATTACAGCTTCATTTGGGGACTAATGTTATAGATAACTTATTAAGAAACTAGTGATTTCTCAGTGGAAGAGCTCAGTGCTCCTCTTATGTCTTTTTCACATATCAGGTTCCTGGATTGGGCCATTTAAAAACTACTCATTCTTGTATTAATCATTTTTCTCTTTTTATTAAATCAGGCAGTCTGCCAAATATGAAGGTTTATAAAGAAGCCCAAAGGAAATGAAAGTGGTGTTTGTGGGGGCTAAGTTTCAGTACGATGTAGCTAGTGATGAGTGTAAACGCCCTTAAGGAATCTAGGAAACATAAAGGAGTAGCGTGGTAGTAAATTATGTGACTCATTTCCTACCCAACATGAAAAATATATGATAAAATACTTTCTGAAAGCTATTAATAGTTTCTCACATGGAAATCACAAATAGTTTCTAAGAAAGAAATTTATTTTGATATTCTAGCGGTAGAAAAGATTTCTAAGAAGTCATTGAATCTGTTCTTGTCACTCTAGTAGAGATAGTTGATTCATGTATTATACGAGGAAAAAAATGGTTTTATTTTACCAGATTTTAGAACATTTAATTAAAGGTAGACTAGCTTTTCACGTATACTTTTACTGATGAAGCCTATTATCATCATAATTTAAGTTGTATTTTTTAACTAGCTCTGTAGAAAGATAACTACTTTTCTTTTGTTTTTCCGTCTTTAATATCTTTTTAAACTTTTAATTTTTATTTGAAACACCATGGTTTACAATATTGTTAATGATGAGGCTTCATGTGTCCAATATTCCTATTCCACACCACCCACCAATCTGTCTACTTCTCTCCTTGGTGGGCCAGGATATGGGTCAGTAGGAAAGTGCTTGCTGGCCTTCCATAGATGAGGTGTAGGTTTAGTCCCCAGGTCTTTGCAAACAGCAGCAACAAAGCTTTGGGATTAGTTATACTTCGATTGATTTGTGTCTTGAATTTTCTAGGTAATCATTCCTGGGGGATTTATCCAGAATCTGTGTCTGCTTTGCCAGTGGATAAGAGTCTGCCCTCCCATTCTGTTTACTCTGAATTACCTTCAGGTGATGGAAAGATGAAGGTGACTGTTACACAGATAACAGTAGCACTGAGCAGCTTAAAAAACATTTTCACTCCTCTGCTTTTTCGAGGAATTCTCTCTTTTCTGACATGGTGGATTGCTGCTTGTCTTTTTTCTACAAGCCTCTTTGGGCTTTTCTATCACCAGTATTTGACTGTGGCATGAACCTCAGTTAACAAAGGATATTCAAGTCATATTTTGAATTCAAATACTTGTGCCCTTGAAGGACTGATGAAAACCAGAAGAAAGCAAATACAAAGGATAAAAGAACATATCAGAATATCTTTTAAATGTTTCCTCTGTATTCTCAGGTGAATTAATGGTATATTTAAAACTACAGAGTAGAATGTTAACTACTATACTGTGGCATTGGAATGTTAACCCCTTGTATTAACTGATAGGGGAGGGCTATCTACAAGGGTAATATTTCTGATTACCTTGGTTTACAGAAACCTCCAACAGTCTCTTACATTTTCATAGGACTCCAGTTATTGACTGATTGCTCTTAAAGGTATTAAGGTACTGTTGATCTTCATAGTGGGTGCCTATAGAACAATCTTCAAACTGAGCCATGCTTTAGGGAAACGAAAGAGCAGATGTCGCTTCTGTTGGTAATAGTCATTCTTGAAACAAGCAAAATCCAACAGAAAGGAAGAAATAGCTACTGTATATTACAGTAAAGAAAGCTGCATAGTAATTTTAAATTTAAGAGATGTATGTGCTTAATATATGCAAGCACTACTGCTTGAGAGTAGCAAGAGTACTGTTTTAAAGTGTATTCTGTCCAACTTGAGAGATATTTTTAAATGTTTGGCCATATGAACATTTACAATCTTGTTGATAGGTTTGGGCCTACCATCTTTTATTTTACTCTATGATCCTAAATAGTTCTTTTTAATAGTCTAAACATATTTATCAATATTGATCAGTCTTTAAAGAAATTACTTTGTAATCCTGCTGACTACCTGTATGTATTGTGTATATATATATATTATATATTAAATATATAATATATTGAGACTATAAAGATGAAAATATTCAATCCTATAGTATTTTAAGTTTCTAAATGTATGTTTAAATGTGATTGAATGAGTTGTATTTGTATCTAGAAATTTTCCTTTTGGAATGAGATTAAAATACATTTTGAAAGTTCCTCAGCAAGCAGTTGTCATTACCTGTGTGTGAGAGAGTATTTAAATTTTGTAAGTTCTTGTGATTTCTCTCAAATTCCCATTGTTCTGTCATTTTCGAAAATCAGAGTCGTTCCCACTCCAAACTTATAGGGTAGTATTTAAAACACTTGTTAAGTGGGACTTATCTTGAATTTTTAGAATTTGAATTGATTTAGGTTTTTACAGTCCCCCAAATTATGGTAATTTGAGTGAAAAATTCAAATGAAATTGATCAGAGGGAAATTTTTTAATTTTTTAAAATCTGAAACCCAAAATGAAGGATGGCAGTCACAAAAGAACATGTTATATATGTATTTTAAGGCTGGAGAGGTCATTTAGATCACCCTTAGACATGCTCAGGGCTTATACCTGGCTATGATGAGCTCCCAGCAGACCATATTCTCCCGGGTTTCAGACCAGTTCCGCTGTGGTAGAACGCAAATGAATTCCAAACTCCTACACTATCTCTCTGTTCTTACATGCATCTTCTTTTTAGCAAATCAAATAGCATACTTTATAAGTGAATATGCTTTCACGAGAGAGTATGTTTCAGAGCTATTTTGAAACTCTTTGGGAATTAATTTCAAGGCTTTGACTCACATGTATTTGATCTCAAAACAGAAATTTAGGGGAGTTAGTTCGGTGGGTGGTGCTTGGCGCTGCACTCATCTCTGCTTTGGGCTTACTCCTGACTCTGTGCTAAGGAATCACTCCTGGCAGTGCTCAAAGGACCTTATGCAGTTCTGGGATCAAACCAGTTCGAGACAGCTGCCTTAAGGCAAGTACGTAACTCCCAGTACTAACTTTGTTGACAGCCCCAAATAGCAAGTTCCTGACTTTGTTGTAGATTAAAGTTTTTGGAAACAACTGGTTTTTAAATAAGACTAAGCAATAAATACTTAAGTAATATAACTTTTTTGGTCGGAATGAATTGTGAGTGTAGCTCAGGAGTATTCCTAAAGTGAAGCATTTCAGATATATCTTGGGCTATCACTAACATTCCAGCAAAGTATATATAAGTAATTTTGTATGTAAAAATTTTTACATGACTTGAGAAGGATTTCATCTGATATTGCAGGCATTATTAAAGGACTCTGTTCTAAAAATTGCAATTAAGTTAATACTTTAAATTTCAAATATTGCATAGTGCATTAGATTGTATCATTCATTGTTGGATAGAATGACATGTATTGGGTGTAGGAGAGTTGCACAGTCTCTTAATTTTAAGTTAAAGGTTTTTTGATTTTTGGGTTTTTGGTTCTTTCAAAGCAAATGTGAAGAGAATGATGGTTATAGCCACCAAGTGGTTTATTTAAGCATATTGCCTTTGTAGCAGAAGCTGTGTTCTTTAATTCTAAAAGGGTTTATACTTTATACCAAATAATAGTTTTAATTGAGATATGGTGACATGAAATCTAGTAGTAAGTATACAACATAATACTTTGATAGTAATATATAGGATGTGAAATGATTCCACCTGCTAGTTTAATATCTTAAATTAGTTGAATTTGTTTTTAAGTTTTTAATATTGAACATAGGGAAAATATATATTGTCACTACAAATGCTTCTAAGATAATTTTTTTAAAAAGTTTTGCCAAATTAAGCTGGAGCTCTTTTTAATCTTGGTTTTATGTGATTTTGAGTTTGTTATGTTCTATTCCCCTTCTCTGTATTGCACTATTTTTTAAAAAAAGTCTATTCTTCCTTCTACCCCGTTGACTTGTATGAAATGTAAAACATATAATTTATCTTAATATCTGTGCATTTTGATTATTTTCCCCTAGAGTTCTGACTCCTATACATAAATGACCGATCCATCCAAACAGAATGTCACATTGTCTTATTGTTTCTGATATAAATATCATAGGTAAAATAGTGACATTTCTTGTTGAATTATGATTCAGAAAAGATAATTCATCCATTAATGGAATTGATATATCCAGGAAGCAATAAGTAGAATTCATTATGAAATCTATAATTGGAACTTCACTAGATAGATTTTATTCTTTCAAATGAAAGATTAAATTCTCAGTACTGCAAAGCATAAGGTTTCAGCATTCCCTGAAATCATACATACTTTTCTGAACTGTCTGATAATTCACAATAGTCTATTGTGGGTATATGGCTCTATTCAGAAAAATAAAACTAAATGAGTTTTGCACTTGGATTAGTCTTCAGAGATGAATTAAAGAGTGAAATGTAAACACATCACTGAATCCAGAGCGGGAACCCATTGTCTCTAATAGTCATGGAATGTCTTTTTAAGTTTCATTCATCTTTTTATGCTTAGACCCTGGCTTTCTAATTGAAGCTGTTATGTGCTGTATAAACTCTGAAGTGAAAACTTGGCATGATCATACCTTTTCCTTGCTTAAAATGGTAGACATAAAAACATTTTTTAACTATTTAAAAAAAGCAAGTTTTTCAAATTTCTTCTGTTATTCTTTAACAAACTGTTATTTTGATTGTGCCTGTCTTTAATGATTCAGAGTATATGTTTTCTGTTCCATTGTGAGTTTTTTCCTCTTCAGTCTTTTTCTTTGTAACTTTCTATATGTGGTGGTTATTCCTCACATCGCTCATTGGGCAAAAGTCTTTTTATAAATGAAGTAGCAGCATAGATTTTAGATTGAATGTTTAAGAATCAGGGCACCTCTCTTATTACCCATTTCTACCTGTAATTAGTTGAGTTTTTTGCATCAAATAGAGAATTATCCTTTGACCTATTTTGTGAAATAAAAGTTTAAATGGGGGGCTGGAGTGATAGCACAGCGGGTAGGGCGTTTGCCTTGCACGCAGCCAACATGACCGACACAGGTTCGATTCCCAGCACCCCATATGGTCCCCTGAGCACCGCCAGGAGCAATTCCTGAGTGCACGAGCCAGGAGTAACCCCTGAGCATCGCCAGGTGTGACCCAAAAAGCAAAAAAAAAAAAAAAAAAAAAAGTTTAAATGTATAGCTATTCATTTCTAAGTCTGCTATCACTTTTTTTTATTATAACATGAGAAATTTAAGAGAATGCATTATATAGAATGCAGTAGTGAACAAAACATCAAAATCCCTGCCCTCCAGGAGCTTAGTGTCTAAGGTGAGAGAGCAAACGCTGGAAACAAAGAGGAGTGTGAGTTCAGTGCAGGCTACATTACATTGTCCCTCCAGGTGATGAGCAAAGTAATTAGAGAAGAGGGAGTAGGAAGTTGGGGCATAAGGACAAAATTAAGATTTTACATCGGACCTTATTGAGAAGGTGATTTTTGAGTAATGACTTGAAGAAATGAGTTCCGTCACAGTGTTTGTAGCTATTCACTGATAGAATATCCTGGATACTTTGACTTTTACTAAGCAAAATTTCTTTGCAAGGCACCTCATGCACACAAGGCAAATGGTCTACTGCAGAGCTACCTACAGCAAATTTAATTGTGTAAATTTTACTTTTGTGATTTATTTTTTTATCAACTATTGTTAAACTAATTTGGACATTTTATATTTTTATATTAGTTAGAAACCTCATAAAGACTCAAAGGATCTCACAAGAATTGTAGGACCCTAGGGAATGAAATGAAAATCCATTGCATGAAGGTGTCATGGCCCAGGGCAAATTTGGGATAATAACATCTTAGGAAAAAAAACTAAATGCATAACAGGATTTGAGAACATTAACGCTGTCCATTGCTAAAGTAGTAAAAGTGTGGAGGATTTTTTAAAATAGTGTTCTACAAAACTAACTTTAGCATCTGTTTATTTGGAGTGCGTTTTTCTTTAACTCCAGAATTTATCTTTATGACTAGAATATTTCAGCAAATTAATAGTGTGAATACATGTATTATTCTTTCATTTGTAATTGTAACAGTTCCCTAAGCATCAAAATGAATTTTTTTCTCCACATAATTTTGTATTATAATTGCTCATGAGGATATCTTTTTGGTTTGAGGGAGCTGCACGGGCTTACTCTGGCTCTGTGCTCAGGGATTAGTCCTGTCAGATCTCCGGGGGCTCAGTCAGTGCAGGGCAAACACCTTATCCTCTGTACTCTCCCTCCAGTCCACTGTATCTATTTTGGATAAGTGGCTGGTGTTGCTACTCGGTCTGTTTAATTGTTAAAATAAAAAGTTATATTTGAAAAATGTTATCTTTAAAAGTTTAGTAATGGCTTAAAAGATCATTAATGCCGGAAAAATATTGTTTCTTCATATTCTTTGTATTTTTTAAATTACTGTACATTAGAGATTATAATTTCAAAGTTATTCCCCAGAATGTTAAGATCACATTTTTCTTATTTTGGGGGACCACATCTAATGGCGCTCAAGGGCTACTCCCAGCTCAGTGCTTAGGGGTTGCTCTTCTTAGTGCTCAGAATTGATTGAACATAGGCCTTCCACATGTGAAACATGCCCAGTCAATTGTACGGTCTTCCTGGTGTCCTTATCAAGAAAGAAAAACAAATCCAAGTATTGAGTTCCTCAGTAGGAATCATGGGGTAGGAGGAATTACATAGAAATTGTCAATACATGATTGGTGTTGCACTGAATGATACCATGTGTATGAGGATCGTGCTTTAGCTTGTCTCTTACTAAATTTATAATTCCACAAAAACTAATTTTTGTTTCTCTTTGTGGGTGGATGGGGGGTGAAGGCAGGTAGATAAAGGGCTCTCATGTGGTGCTCTGGGCACTAAGGACTATTCTGATTCATTGCCAGCTTGACTAGGTGACTCAGCCTGAGACCTGAGGATGAGTGCTGCTCAGGCCCTTCAGGGCTGGAGACTAAGAACCGCCCTGTTGGTGTTGGGGGCAGGGCCACATCCAGTGGTCCATGGCGGCCTCCAGGCTCTACCCACTGATTCAGGGGCAAAGTGCAAGAACATGCAAGACGTGTTCTCTAACCCCTGTACTGTTGCCCACCTCAGTATTGTTTTGTAAAGTTGCCTGCTACTGTGATTCAGTATTTGTAATGACTGTTATTCGATATTTGTAACATT